AACTTTTAGGGTGATGAGCCTGTACCACGTCGTCATACGCAAGATCATTGAAGTAATCCGGGTCTTCGGTGAGCATCTGGCGCAGCTCATCAGCAGACTTGTCCGGCAGGATTTTGTGTGTCACGGCTTTGAAGTGCGCGACCAGGAAACGTGACAAACCGGCAACTGAATCTGGCAAAGTTGACTGCTTGACCAGCTCCGGCAGGTGCAGGAGGATGCTCCCAACCAAGTGAGGATTCTTGACGTAGAACTTGGTTCCTGATGCAGGGTTGTTCTTGTAGAGATCGTGGTCCATGATCTGGTTCAGGTCTTCGAAGCTTCCTCCAGGCTTATTGTCCGCAGCATCACTGAGCCAGCTCCTTCCTTCATGCAAGCCCAAGTAGCCGCGAGCTCCTTGCTTTTCCAAGGTGGCCCCCATGCCCAGGAAGGTGCCTTGATGCATGTGCTACAAAAGAAACTACAGAGTAGCGCTACAGTTTTAAACTAAGCCTTGTTCGAGCAGGAGGCTTAGTGAAGCGCACAAGCAATATGTATGACGTCCATGGAATGCAGAGTATTCACCAAGCAGCCTTTGTTGTGGACAGAGTCAGCATGTTCGGGTTTGGGAGGGGCGTCTTTCTCATCCTGCTCGCCAGCCAGCACCGCCAGACGATGTTGATCTTTGCTTGTGCTCCACTCTTTCAGCTTACGCTTCGTGCGAGTGTCGTCGAAGTAGTAGAGTATTTGGAAGACAAGCCACAAGGCCACGCTCTTGCCTTCACCTGGTGCTCCGTGTTGCAACATGAGCAAGTTAGGGAACTTTCCAAGGATGCCACCGTAACGAGTCTGCAATGCATTCAACGTCAGCGAAATCAAAATGACCATATGCGTGAAAACACAGGCTGAGCTGAGAGAGGTGGCGCGGCCTAATGCAGCACAAACCTCCCAGGCATGTGGTGCGGAGCGTGACATAGCCTCGTCTGGGTAAGGACACATAGCCTCCATGAGTCGATAAGCACACTGCGCATCTGCATGAGACATCATAGGTGCATCCGTTGTCTGCTTGGCGTGGCGCTTATTCGAAGGCGCGGCCAGAGCAGCTGTGATGTATAAGAAACACAAGAAGCGCAACATTGCTGAGAAGTCGCCCGAGACTACTGAACAACGTAAAAGCTTGAAAATGAACGATAAGCTCAAATGACTTGTGCATGCACGTACAGGCTGTGTACATGTGCAAGCCAGCATGACGGAAACTATACTGCAGGAAAGCCTGTCGCCTTTGAAAGAATAATACAATGCGTACTCCAGGCCCCAGCTTGGAGCAAACACGACTGCGGAGAACTGGCGATGAGACAAAGCTATTTTGAGGTAAGCAACCTGCAGACTAAACGTACAACAAGAATCAAGCATGAGTGTGAGTTGCAAGTGCTTGGAGATCTTGATACTGACTCTTGAACTTATGACTGATAAAGAACAAGACTTCTGAACCGAAAGCAGAACGAACTTGATTTGACCTCGCGCCCTCACCTCGCGGCTTCGCACACCTCGCGGCCTCGCGCACCTCGCGGCCTCGCGCACCTCGCCGCCTCGCACACCTCGCTCGCCTCGCGCACCTCGCGGCCTCGCGTACCTCGCGGCCTCGCACACCTCCTCGCGGGCCTCGCGCACCTCGCCGCCGCGCACACCTACAGTGGCCTCGCTCGCCTCACGGCCTCGCGCAC